ATGCATTATCGCGGTTGAGGGGCCAATGTTTGCATTATTCAAGCCGACATTCTCACTTCCGCATCGTCCACCCCTGCTATAACCATGAGTAATATGATTTGATCATTTTAGCTATTAGTACTACGTTACTTGATTGGGATAAAAACTATATATACATCTCTGAGCTGTACGATTGCTCGTATTGGATGTTGTTTTTCCTTCACATTTTTTATATTATTATTTTATTGTTTTCCTCAACAATGATGAAGCAAATGAAATAGTCAAAAACCTAAATGTTAATACAAACAGTTCTACGTTCTGGAAAACCATTTGAATAATTAAAACACAAAACCAGATGAAAGTGTTTTTTTTAGCTTATTCATTCATATGATAGGTACACTCAGATTCTTTGATGTGGTTTTTTGGAGATTCTGGAGGATGAAAGTGTTGTAACAGACTGAGTTTCATGTTCTTTTTTAGTGCTGCAATATATTATATTCTGGTAAATGGAGTTGGGAGCTTTTCTAATGAATTTCATTTCATGGTTGTCTTTTAGAATTCTTAATCTTTGAATTGCGCTCATGATTTCACAAAGGATCTGATCTTCAATTCTCTGGTGCTTTTTCTGTCCTGTGATTTTCTACGGCCTGTAATGCTTTTCCTCTTTTTTTGGTCTGGAATCTGCTGCTTTTAGTTGATATTCAAGTACTCACTTTGGGCGCTGTCACTCTTTCCTTCTGCTTTTGTGAGTTAAAAATCATCAAGATTTTAGTTTGTAGTGCTGTAAACCAGATTAGAGTTTGTGTGTTTTATCCAACTGGCGTGTCTGCATGCATCGTGTAATTTCTCCAAGATTTGCAGTTTTTCAAGCTCCCACATATATATACGTAGACATTAATTAAAACCCTCCCTGTCGGCCACTTCCTTTCTCCACTCTTTTGCCGCTGACCGCCATTTTTGTGTTCAGCTCTAATCCTGCACGGTCTGATCAACGTGGACTTGAAGGTAATTAATCCGATGATTTTTGAGCTCTCGTTCAATCTCCCCATTTCAGTCTTATTCGTAGATTATTTATTGTTTTTTGATTTTGTGGTTCTCGGTGTTGCTTTGTTGGATTACATATATGATGATGAATTATGTATGTAGATCGAGTTGAGTAGCTATCTTGTTGTTCAAGTCAGTCACCTGATCTTTTTCTATGGTGTCTTTGAATTTTTTTTCTAAAAAAATAAAATAGCCTTGTTTCTTTATTTTGTTTTTCTCTCTTCTTCTTTTTTAAGTCACGAATATGATACAAACAAAAGCAACTTTTCTTTTTCTTCTTCTTTCTTGCTTTCAGAATGCTCCCAAAACTTTTCAAGAAAGAAAAGATCTAATCCCAAAATTAGGGACGACAAGATTTTTTAGTGGTGAGTTGTTTATGCACTCATTCTTGTCAATATAATTATCTAGAGTTATTGATATTGTGTAGTTAATTATCTAGAGTTGTGGTAAGTTCTGGGGCAGCTCTTTCATTGGACAAAATAGGCCGTCGACTAAGGCCTCAGAATTGGGAGGGCCGCGGTGTGTGTATTTATATATATATATATATGTATGTATATATATTACATGTGTATATATATGTGTGTGTGTGTGTGTGTGTGTGTCTCTGTATCATATATATATATATATATATATATATATATATATTGGAAAATTTTAGTATTAATAAACATTAACCAATTGTTAGAAAAAGAAAAATCGACTACTCGACATTTATATATGACTTTCTTTATTTTATAGAATAATTAAAAGGTCCCAATACTCACAGGTATACAATAAGAGTATACCTGTGATATGCCCGTCTAATTTTATTGTATACCGATACATGTGGCCGATACCTGTGATATGCCTGCCTTATTGTTTATATAGTCAAATTTGCTATGTATATATGGTTCCTACTTGGTACTATAGTCGAATTAATCCTACGAATTTACAAATTCCGACATTTTTTTTTCTTCAAAAACAATGCAGCTATCAAAAAGTTGAGAGCGAAATTAAGGAACATCGCAGTAACAAATTGTCATCATCGCCAGATGTTTGCACGGAAATTTTAACACCAGCAATTACTAAAACAAAAAGAGAATATTTTGGCACAATGTCCAGAAGTTTTGAACATGAACTCTACATATTCGACAGAAGGTCTCGGGTTTCTGGGAATTGGGATTTCAGAGCCTTCGGGGCGGTGACCAGCTGGTGGCTGTTGGCCCTGAAAACTAACGGACGGCGACGGAGCTACTGCTTGTATAATAATTGTATTTAGATTTGTAGTGATCAATTATGGAAATTAAATAGGGTTTAATTTTAATTTATGCAATAACAGTTGAAGGAGTCCGAAGTTATTTATGGACGTACCATATGTAATACAGATATTTTTCCCTGAATTAGCATCAATTACACTTTTTTTTTCCTGAGAAAAAAGGAAGAAGAATAGGTTAAAGTATGTCAGACAAAAATAACTACCAAAAGCCGCATTGTATGCATTAACTGAAAATACGAATTTACACATCGAGAATTGAAAGATCAAGATAAAGATGATGTAAATGAAAATTTATACGTTAATTAATTTTATATACCTGGATTGATCATAGAGATTAGAGTATGAATGAAATCTAAGATAAGATGATAATTTTTTAAAAAAATGAAAAAGATAAGAGCCCCATGAAAATTTATATTAATATAGTTTACTACGTATTTTTGTCCCTCTAAAACAGTATATTTTTTCTCTAAATTAATTTATATTAACATATATATTTTTCCAATCTGGGGCTAAAATTATCAAGTTTTAATGACATTTGACTTGTGAGTTTCTTGGAGTAAGAAATTTCCAGAAAAGTTGACAAAGAATGTAGAAGGTGTGAGAGTTTAAGATTGACCACATAATTTTTAACTAGCCAAATTTCCGAAGCTAAAATAGCCTAAACCCAATTGAGCACTGTTTATATCCAAAAAGCAGAAAAGTCAGATGTTCTGAGCCTGAATTATTGAGTGCCAGAATATCACCAACAAATGCATGTTACTAGCTTTTGTTTCGAGTCGGTTGATTAAAGCCAATCGAGCAGATGTAAATGAGATGCATAATATAGCGTATAGTAGAATGAGATGTAATAACACAGCTCCTCTGTATAAATTCAAGTACCATTAAAACCAAAAAAAAAAAAAAAGCATGAAAGTTGAAGTCCAGATCAATGTGGAAATCATGGGTCACTTCAGAGACTAAGAATCCTTAAAAACAATGAATTTCACTAAGCCCCAAAACTATATTAACCGCAATGAATTTTAGCAGTACTAGAGAGTGCAAAAAAACTAGTCTTTGCAACACCAAATTGAAATACTCCTACAAGATGGTATCTGAGATTACACATAAGAAGAATTGACTTGAACTTAAAAGCCCTACTCTTCTTTAATTAATGCCATCGATCTTTAATTTCATCATAATCCAAGGTTTCCAGGCAGTGTATTTCCGGGCAAAACACCTTGGAATTAGGGTTTTTCAGAACCCTCTTTGTAACCTCAGCCTTGATGCCACCCAAACAGAAACAATGTCCACATTTAGAACCTCTTCCCATCTTTTCAGCTGGTTTCTTAACACCACAAATCACACATTCGGCCGATTCGGCTCCGCCCCTGTTTCCGGTTCAATCGAAGGCTTCGTAAACATCATCCTCAACCGTTCAGTATCTAATCAATTATCGATATTGATATTCTGATCCGTATTGTCACATACTTCTGGTGTAATGTCTTCCCCATGCTATTATTTATTTATTTTCTTTTACATCTTAACCTCGCACAATGTCAACAAGACATATGTTAAAATGATCTCAAGAACAATAGATAATTCAATCGATAATAGAATGAGTATTATAAATTAACTGACAAACCTTGATGTGAATCAAATTGTAAAATCTTGATGATGTCGCGCTGTAACTATCATTTAACATCTTGATTGTCAGAAATTTATTATGCAATAATTTACACCCATCCAAAATTGCTTCACCACTCTTTTCCAAAATTTTCCAAGCAATCTATGCTTGCATAATCAAAAACGGACTTGTGAACATATTATGCAAATCTTTAATATAGATTTTTTTTTTTTGAAGGGTAATCTTTAATATAGATGAGTTCATAAGAAAACAATAAATTGAAGTATGAAGGTTTAATTCACACGCACGGGAACACTTTTTTATCATAAAAGTTGCGGAACATATGACCTATTTAATTTGACGAATAAACCCGTATTGGGTTCCAAAGTTTGTGAAAGGGTGAATTGAGGGATTCTTGAATTATTTTATGGATGACAGATGTGAACTAATAGTTAACACGTGGTTGGAAGTTTTCCGACAAAATAATGAAAGTTTTTTTTATCCTAAAAAAGTTAACATGTTTAAAATAAGGAACGATTTCGCTTTTTTTTTGGGGGTCAAGAAAAAAAAGAATTCATCCAAATTTGCTAATTTTGATGCCATTGGAACCAATTAAAATGAACACCTAATCAAATTATAGAACAAAAACTTTAAATTAGTGTTTTCCTAAATAAAATCCCATAAAAAAAGGATGTCTTATCAATTTTTGAGATTCAAAAATATGTACTGTAAATAAATTTTTAAATATTAAACACGTTGTAATAAAGTTAGGAATGCGTGTTTTGAATTTTTATATTTTACTTACAAATCAGCTCTATAATTGATGTGGATAAGATTTACAACAGTTTGGCTAGAATTAAAATTTACTTTTAATCGAGGCATTTCATGACTTTAAGTAATTAAATAAAGTTTGGTGTGTAATTTTTAGGACTCTTGAACCGATTCCCATGTTTGTTGGATCATCTTGACTGAAGTGAGTCCTCTCTACAAACTCTTTCACTCATTCCGCCCGGATTTGTTTCCTATAATATATGAGCAGTTGAGGAGATCCTGTTTTCTTCCTCCTCCTCTCTCTATTTAATCTCCTTCGAGTTGCAGGAATTCATCTGAACAGCGATGATGAATGCCCAAATAGTAGAAGGAGATGCCGAATTGAAAGGCTTATCCACCAGTTCTTGAAGACAAAAGCGACTCCAAGAAGCCACCAGAGATTCACCATGGTGATGACCCGGAGTACACAAAAATTGTTGTTATGATTCCCAGGGTATACTTGAATAAGCCTATACATCTTATTGATGATGAACATTGCCAAAGCTATCCACTAAAATTTTTTGAGATGAAGAAATCTCCTTTTGGTAAGTAATCGAAATTTATTTATTTATACATTTATTTTTTGTTCTGTTTTTGGTATAGCTTCCCAAAACATATACTAGGATCAAAATATAGAAGTTATAGTTGTTCTTGAGGCAACTCTTTTTCAAATTCTTAATTTGTTCTATTATTTATGTACTCAAGCTCTAGCGACCAAAGTTTTTTTAATCTGATTGTAATAAATTGCGAGTTCTTTTTCATTCTTTTTTTCTCCTACTGCTTTCTTAAAATTAATAAAATTATAAATGTACGCCGTGTTTGACATTTTATCTTTGCCCTCTCCTAACAGCAGCAAAGAGATCACCAGGTATTGTATACGGCCATTTTGACTTCCACAATCCAGTCCGTGTACTATCACAATGTGAAGGTGAAGGTATGATCGATATATGTGAATACGGATAAAAAAAATAAATATCTTCACTCAAATATTGAGATTTATGCTATGAAATTTGATTAACTAATTAGAACCATAAAATGTTTTCAATCTTGATGATAACCAGAGAACGAAGTAAACCCTACCCAGGTTTCCAACCCACAGAAGGGAACATTGGCACAATTGAATTTGGCTAAATGCGTGATTTGTGATGCCAAAAGGCCAGCTAAAAAGATGGAACGGTCTCCTAAATGCGGACATTACTTCTGTTTGGGCTGCATTCAGCAATATATCGAAGACTTGATTATTCAAAACGCCAAAAACCTCTATTGCCCACAACCTTGTTGCCTACGACTTTTGGATCCTCGGGTCGTTGCGGATCGAGATTGGGTGTAGGGTTTATTTTTATGACATTTTAGCATCCTTTTGTTTGATATTACCATCAGTTTTGTCTATGTATTTTCATTGGAAATATTGGCTTTAATGGAGCTCAAAATGCTGTCTAGCTAAAGGATGTTTAAAGCTTCTAGGAAATTACTGTATCTTTCTTTTGAAAAAACCGTTGGGAGAATAAGTTGCTTTATTCATAATTTAGTTTGAGAATGATAGATAGCCTTTGGACTAAATATTGATGTTGGTAGAGGTTCTTTGCAAATTAAACTTATTTGAATGTCGAGGATTTTGTTGATTCATAGTTCATGTGTCGATGTCATAGTACGTGTATCACATTACGAAGGTATTGTGTTTCATGTATCCAAAAAATTATTGCAGTTTAGCTCCATATGTATACTTGGACGATGTAATGTTGACGATGTTGTACGATGTAATGTTCCATATGTATAATGTTGGACGATGTTGTATTTCATTCTGATTATCTGAAATTAAATTTTAGACCTTTTTACATTTGTTGTTTTGGATCTCTAATCTCACGAGTACCATGCACTACTGATGATATATCATGTCTCTATATATGTTATCATGTACTGAGTACGTTTGGGGTTGATCCTTTAGGGTTAATAAACCAAGAAGAAAAGTAGTAAGAAGAAAGCCGAAAGATTGATTGGCGGAAACATTTTAGCAGCATATTGTAGTAAACACATTGTTAAATAATCTCTCCGTCCCAAAATTATTGTTCAAATTTGTAGTACAAATTGTACTACAAATGAAAATCCAAATTGGACAATAATTTTGGGATGGAGGAAATATGTATTTTTTCTTTTTTAATTTTTTTAATACTGAACTATAGTAATAAGAATCTTGAATTGTGTAGTTGTGTGTTTGTCTAGGCTTTAAGATTATAAATAACAAAATTTTGAGAGATCTTAGTATAACAAGAATATCATACGTCACTATATGCATAATCATTAATCCCAACTTGGAAGTGATGATGTTATATAAGATGAATCTAACTCATTTACTAATCATGTTAGAATAATATGTAGAAGAAGCTCAAAACATTCATTTAATTTTGCTTATATATGGAGAAGCAGAAGAAGGAAAAGAAATATAAATATTAAAAAAAAAAAATCAGCGAGCGATTCAAACTACTGTAACAATCTCCGGTGATGCCAATAAAGATTCGTGGGAATCCACACATACAAAACAATAGTTTCTCTTTCTCTCTTCTTTTTGAAACATAAAATTTTCCACGAAAAAAGATTTTTTGTTACACTGCATGGAGATAAGTTAGTTGCATCTCATAAGAATAAACGTACGTAATATTCTACCCGACGTATTTTCATGTTCCTTTTTATCGCACTACATTAGTATAATATAAGCTGAATTTGTAAAATGAGGCAGAGATACTATGTGATATCCTTTTTCAAAAAATAAGCTGAATTGGTAAAATGAGATGGATGTACTAACATTAGTACTCCCTCCGTCCCATAATTATTGTCCATTTTGCCCAAAAATTTTGTCCCAAAATTATTGTTTAATTTGACTTTTTATGGATCAAGTTACACATTTGTCCTTAGTAAAAAATATTATCCATAAAATTTTAGTGGTTAAACAATTAATTATTTAGGGGTATATCCGGTTGTTTAAGGTAAAATATAGTTAAGTTTGACCAAAAATAAAATCTTTCATTTTAGTAAAATTGGACAATATTTATGGGACAGAGGGAGTATAATATAAGTTGAATTGGTAAAATGAGATACAGGTACTACGCGATATCCTTTTTTAAAAAATAAGAATAAAAATTATAGCATATTTATATATCTCTTCCCGCAAAATTTCATTTTGAAATTTATACATTTTTCCTCATTCTCATCCAAAATCAAACACTCCTACTAAATAACCAACGGAGCTGACAAATTGAGAGCATTTTTTATATTGAGAACAAATACGTGTGTTACCCTTTTTCATTACTAATATTTTTACTTCATTTCAATTTATCATCTTAACTTTTTACCACTTCGTTTGGATGTGAGATGAATCCTCCAGGTCCGGCCACATCAATCTACTAACCTACGTTTTTTCTTCATAACAAATAAACTACGAAAAATGACACAAATATGCTCCCAAATTGGTAATGTAAGCAGGACTATGGCTAGGTTTTCGGAGGTAGAAAGAAATATGTTTCTCGCATTTGGCAAATGCGAAAAAACCAACTTCCGCGTTTAGCAAATGCGAAAATGTAGTGGATTAATTACAATGCATTAAAGACGTTGGATTAAAATTGGATAATTATAATTATTTTAATTCTTCGCATTTGGGGTATGCGAAAATTAACTTTTCGCATATGCCATATGCGAATGTATTAAATTTTTATTTAAAAATTGTTTCCTAACTTTAAATTGGTATAAAATGAAATGTTGTAAATTAAATATTTTGGTTGATAAAATGTTGTAATATTTCAACAAAAAAAAACTATTTTAATTGAAAATTAAATTTTCTAAATTTAAAGTATTCATTTGATTTAAGTAAATTTATGTTAGTTCTAAATAGAATTGCAATCCTAAAAATTATATTTGGTGAACAGAAATCGTATAATGCATTTATAATAAAATTTGAATAAGAAGTAATTTAAAATTTCGGTGAAAAATTAGAATATAATCTTGCGTTTTGTAACCAAGTTTGCTTTTAAAAAAATTGACTTTTATTTGATTTCAATTTAAAAACTTACCATCATTAAAAATATAATGTCAAAAAATCAAGTTTATTAATTTTAGGATAATAATATTTTTTACATAATAAAACTTAGAATCAATTCATTTAAAGTAAGGAAAAAAACTAAAACTTTTAGAATCTGACATAATCAGTCCTGCTAAACTTGATAAAACCACACTTCCTTCTAACAATGATCTTTTGGCAACCTGGAAACTTGAATTTGGCACGACGAAAAAGATAGTATTGTATAAAAGTAAGAGTTAAAAAAATTGTACATAATATTGTCTTTTTGAGAAATTTTCTTCTTTAATGTTTGCCTTTTAATTTTTTTTTTATCTTAAAGATTAAATAAAACCGAAATAAATTGTTAATGAAAAGAAATGAAAGGTATTGCTTAAAACTAATAACAAAAGTCATAAAATAGCATAAAATAAAAGTACAATTCAATCTAATTTTTCTACATCTTGCGCTTTTTCTCCTGAGAATCTGTCATGCAGCACTTTTTCTTCTTTTTTATGTTCCGCTGTCCCTTACCCAAAGCAATCGGTGTAAAAGGCATGGTACCATCACTGGGGCCCTGTCCCTGATCGCGCCTCATAATGATCATGAGAGGAATGCTCGGCATCATCGCATCATCATCATGCTCCCGATCCCGAATATCCTCATGATCTTGATCATCTTCCCGATCATTATGGATATCGTCACCATCTAGATGTCGACTATGATGACCACCCTCGTAACTAGTCTCAAAGAAACCCCAAAGATTAGGATCTAGATTAATAAAATCTGAATCAAAATGCATTTGCTCAAAAGGAGGAGAGGGATGGTGGTGTGGCGATCTTTGGACGGTAAGGAGACACATGGGGGTAGAAGATTGCCCGCCGGTATCCTGGGTGGCCACAGGTTTTCTCATTCTCCCACTCCCTAACTGGAAGCCGCCTCGGTCAGTCCTGGGAGGCCTAGGTGGGATATACTCCTGGGTTGCGTCAGCTGGAACAAAATCTTGGCTTGGGTTCTCACTATCAGCCCAAACAGATGTCTTGCTGACAGTGATTGCCTGCTGTGTCAAATCGTGCAGCTGTAGGAAGGCATTGTGATTCCAAGAATCAGCTGGATTACGTTGTAGCCCATCTAGAGTAATATGCCGCATGTTTTGCACTAAATTGGCCTGAAAATTATGAAAGGAAATAAATATATATGGTAAATTAAAAATATATAATAAATATATTTTATAAATGAACATATATATGGTAAATTAAAAATAGGAAATAACATTTTAGAAAGTTATATGTATACAAATCATATTAATATGGGTGTGATTAAAGAAATAGTAGAACTATAACTTACCATTATATGTAGTGACTCAGCAGATCCCTGAAAACCCTGGGGCTGACGATAGTCTGATGGGTTGGTGACCAAAGTGACAGTGTGATTTTGATACCACACTAGATATTCCGGTGCTGCCTGGGGTTCAAGAGTCATATCCGTCTGAAGACCTGCAAGGGTGTTGTGTCGATTCTCCCACCTCTGTAAGATGTCATCTCGACATTTCTTACCACGCGTCTCCTTATATGCAACTTTTCTATTTCTTTTTTCTCCATGATGAAAGTGTTCTCAGGCACCCGCTGCAAGAAGCCGAACTGGCGCAACACCCTGCCTGGGATGTGTGGTTCTCAGATACCAAAATAAAGCAGCCAAGTCTGGGACATCCATATGGCGGAGCCGGCAGAGCAAGATGGATCAATGTCTGCTAGAATAGTTGCGCCACAGGTAATCCTCATCTGATGTATACGGTAATCCTCATACCGTTTCATGGGATTCGTCGCGAGGGGTGAATGGCATTTGTCAATTTCATCTATGTTTTCCTGAAACAACTTGTTAGTCTTATACAATGTGGCAAGAATCAAAGCAGTGATAGGGAGCATCCGGCAACCTTTTAAGACATTATTAAATCTCTCGGATATGTTCGAAGTCATTTCTCCCCAACGATATCCCCCGTCCCAATAACGGGTACACTTCTCAAGACTGATTTGCTGAAGATATATGGCTGCATCTCTATTTTTACTTTCTAAATTCATCCATTCTTTTTCAAACTTCCCTTTTTGCAACATTGAACAAGCCCTTTGACAAGGTCTTTTGAGTTTCTGCCCAGGAAAATTGCTAGCTAAATTTGCTTTGATGTGCTGCAGACAATAACGGTGCACTCCCATCCCTGGAAATTTATCAAGCATAACATCCATAGCAGCAAGAATACCTATATGGTGATCAGAGATAATGCAGGTCTCCTTGTCAAGTAGAACAAATTTTTTCAGGTATTTAAGGAACCATTTCCAGCTGTGCAATGTCTCTTTATCCACGAGAGCAAACGCGATGGGAACAATTGTGTTATTCGAGCACTTCACACATGCCACGATCAACTGTGATGTCGACGGTTATGACCGGCCAAGCAGCTCTAAATAAATGTATAGCTGGCCCAAATGCCCAAAAAATGTACCTGCACACCTTCTTCTTCTGATTCTTGGTATCTTTAGTGAACTTAAACTTGCATACGGGTATCTGGGTTTGCTTTGAGCAATGCTTCCCGAAAACTGGGCAGTTGTTGAAAGTTGTTTTCCCATGTGCCATACAGACTCTCAAGTGCTTTTCTTCGACCATGCCATGCCTTTTTGTAATTGGGGGTGACCCTATATCTCTTATTTACTTCGACTTGGATCTGCGCGACTGAATAACCTGGATCTTTTCGGACATTGGCTGTGATCAATCGAGCAATCATTGTGGACGTCAAGTTACGACCTTCGTTTCTTGTGGTTGCACCAAGACAGTTGTGGCTCTCGATCCATACCACCATTCTCCAAGTATTTGTGTCTTTTTGCAGGGTAGCTCGACATTTCCACAAGCAAGTAGTGCCGTGGAGAAGTTCTTCTGGGTACTTCGGCCCTTTAGTCTCGCATTCAGCGGCCCACGTATAGGGACGGCTATATTTTACCCGACATGCCCGACCCTGTCGCAATGTCCATTCCCCCACAGCTGTTTGTACCTCTTTCTTGTTAGCAAAATGTACACCATGTCTAGCCGTCTGCCAATTACCGTCCCACATTGTGATCCCATCAGAATCCTCATCCAGTTCAGACTTGTCCATGTCACTTATGTCGTCAAAAATAGAAATTACTACTGAAGATGCGTCATGGTCACTGTAATCATCATCAGACTCATCGGACGGCACATACTCCTCGTCACTGTTCTCATGTACGTCATCTTCTGTGTCATCGTCATCTTCATTGGTACCACCTAAACCTCTACTCCCTGCACCATCATACTGACCACCACTAGTTCCTTCCCCAACATCTTGAACAGGTTCATCTGCAACCTCTACGTACAATGCTGGACGTAAATGGGCACCTCGGTAAATCCATGACATTGACTCGTCGTCTCTTATGGGCGCTTGCCCCCTTCTGCCGTACTCATCTGTGCAGACTAAAACATATTACAGAGGAAGTATTTGTTGGTTCTCAGATTCTAACAGCCTGTGTACATAATTATCAAGTTCATAGAAACTCCACACTCGATCGATACGAACTGTTGCATCGGGCGTAAATAACTTCTCCCCATATCCCCAACATGATCGATCACTAGACCAGAATATATTCAGATCGAAGGGACCCGGAAAAGACATATTAAGGGCCTGCACATTTAATTTTTATTCAATTAAACATACAAATACATCAATTCATGCTTGTTATAACAATATTCTACCTCACTAGCAGTAATTTACTCCAAAAACTAACAATAAGTCCTATCTTTAGTGAAAAATCTCTAACATAATTTAATAATTCAAAAAATATAATTCGACATCTATATAACAAAGTTTTCAATTAAAAGAATAACAAATTTTGATCAAACTAATAAATTTAGATTTACACAATGTATTTGATATATTAAAACTAAATTTATTCAACAATACATGAATTTAGCACTCAACGCTAGTGATAAAATATAAAATTAACAGAATAAAAACAAATAAAACAGGGTCAAATCAATAACATTACAAATAATTGGGTCAGAATATAAAATTCACAAAATTGAGGTATAAAGACCAAAATTCGAGATCAACCGGGTTATTCTCTAAATTAATAAAATAACTCATAATATTCAACAAAATTCAACAATTCACATCATAAAAATAATTTTTATTCTTCATTCTACATCAAATATATATTTATTGAAGCAAATTTTCTAAAATCAATTCTCAATAACTACCGAAATTATTAAATTTAGTAATTTCGTACACCACAACAACATTAATAGCCCCAAATGACAATAGAATGTATAAATTTTACAAATTTCATAGAGAAAAAAAACTTACCTAAATGGGTTGCCTCTGTCTTGCTCCCGTTCAGTCCAACCATCCAACCTTCAATATGAAAAATGCCTCTTTCCTGCTCCGCCTCTTCCACCGGAATGAAAATTTCAACTGAATGCAAGAATAATTGATGGTTTTTAGTTCTGCCGAATTGGGGGTGATGAGTTTTAAATTATGACTCTAGCCATCATATTCGCATTCGCCAAATGCGAACATTTATCCAAATTGTCAGCAATTGCCACGTGTCGATAAGCTATTGACCAATCAGATTTTAATAGGATAAAAAGATAATTTCGTTTTTTTTTACCTATATTTTTTTGTTCGCATTCGTTGAATGCGAAAATCTTATGATGGCCCACACTTTTCTCTTTCCTTTCTATGTCCACTTTAATTTATTCAGATTAATATCTTCGCATTCGGCAATTGCGAAATTTGGGTGATGGCCCACTTTGAGTTATCTCATTTGTTGATATTATTTGTTTAAGTTGAACTAATTAATTACGTAAAGATGTTCGCATATGTTAAATGCGAATACAGTTTCTTCGCATATCACAAATGCGAGAAACATATAAATTTCTACCCCTCCAACCTTAAGAACACTTTTTTCTACCAACTAAAATTTGGGTACACTAAACTCACGGACCCAAATAAACTAATTGGATAAAACTCCTCCAATGTTAAAACTCGTTGAAGCACCAGTAGAAGCCGAAGTCATCAAAGCCGCAGCAGCACCATTGACATTGACTATTGTGTTTGATCGAGTCTAGTTGATAGACACGAACAATGCATGATTCGACCCAGGTGACTAACCGGATACCCGGTTGGGTCATGGTAGTAGATGATGACCCTGCAATCATGGACTTGAGAGTAGCAGAATTAATTTCCTCGAGGAAGAATGGAGGGGATTGCATAGGGTTTTGTGAATTTCTGTCTAATCTATGGGTTGATTAAAAAACAAATCTATGTGTTGATTCACGAACAGAGGAAGGCCTACTAATATGGCTAGAGAATTGAGAATTCTTCTTTGTAGTAAAGAAAGGATAAGCAGTAGCAGTAAAATATTAGTTTGAAATTTATGTAGAAGGGTATTTAAAAAATTAAAATTGCTCTTATACTCACCGATTTGTTTATCTTTACTGATTGAGTTTATACTTTATATATTCTGTCATCAGTTTTTTTTTTCCTTTTTCAATTTTTTTAAAAATAAGTGGTAACCAGTTTTTGGAACGTACTTTACTGAGTATTACTGAGTTACAAGAAAAACAAATCTTTTTAAGGGCGATTCTTTTCACTTTTTAATTTAAAAATAATAATACTTGATAAATTAAGAAAAAAATCCCTACCCGATATAAATATTAAAAGTAGGGTCAAACCCTAGGGTTTCACTCGTTTTGCTTTCAGCCGGCCTTTTCATTTCCTCTCGCCCCTGAAGGCCACTCAAAGTACAAGTTTTGTAAATTTAAGAAAACAAAGGTTTGATTTGTTTTCACATCTTTCCTGAAGATCCGCCCTATTTAATTAAAGAAGAAACAGAAACAAATGGCAAAGCAACTCACAGAGGAGCAGATTGCTGAGTTTAGGGAAGCTTTCAGCTTCTTCGACAAAGACAGCGATGGCTGCATCGACGCAAAGGAACTGGGAAGAGTGATGAGATCATTTGGTCAGAATCCCACCGAATCTGAACTCCAAGCTGTAATGAATGAGTTCGATTCCGATCTGAATGGAGTTCTTGATTTCCCTGAATTTCTAAACATGATGGCAAGAAATATGGCCGATTCGGAGGAAGACATCAAAGAAGCTTTTAAAGTGTTTGATAAGGATCAAACTGGGTTCATTTCCGCAGCTGAGCTACGTCATGTGATGACGAACCTCGGGGAAAAGATGACGGATGAAGAAGTGGATGAGATGTTAAAGGTGGCTCACGTGGACGGTGAAGGGGAAATCGATTATGAGGAATTCGTGAGGATGATGTTTACGAAGCCTTCGATTGAACCGGAAGGAGGGGCCGAGCCGAATCGGGCTGAATGTGTGATTTGTTGTGTTAAGAAACCAGCTGAAAAGATGGGAAGAGGTTCTAAATGTGGGCATTGTTTCTGTTTGGGTTGCATCAAGGCTAAGGTTGCAAAGAGGGTTGTGAAAAACCCTAATTCCAAGGTGTTTTGCCCCGAAATACACTGCCTGGAAACCTTGGAGTATGATGAGAATAGAGATTTATGGCATTAATTCATTAGAGAGTCTTGGTGGCATTTTGGCATATGCATTCAAGTTCAACCCCTGGTGATAATTAATTTTGAATATTTATGTTTTATCTTAATTACGGGATCAATTAGAAATGGTGATGTATTGAATTCTACTAATAGGTTCTTCTGAGTGGGCATTTAGGTTCAATCCAATTCTTCTTATGTTTAATCTGATACTATGCCCCATGTATGTCAATTTGGTGTTGCAAAGACTAGTTTTTTGTTGTTGTTGTTGTTTTTTTTTTTTTTTTTTGGCACTTTCAGTAATTTTTAGTACTTCTCCGGTTAGTGGAGTTTTGGGGTTTAATAAATTTCAATGTTGTTTTAGGATTCCGAAAGTGCCCCATGATTTCACATTGATATGGACTTAAAACTTTCATTGCTTCTTCTTCTGTCAATAATGCCTATCTCTCGCGCTTAATACTGATTTTTGTGTCTTTTAAAGCTCGTAATATGCATTTGTTGGTGATATTCTGGCACTCAATCATTCAGGCTCACGGGGAATATCTGACTTTTGTGCTTTTGGGATATAAACAGATTCCGATTTGGTTTTATGTACATTAGCAAAAGTGCTCAAATAGGGTTAATTTAGACTATTTTAGCACGGGAAATATGGCTAGTCAGAAATATCATGGTCAATCTTAAACTCTCACACACCTTCTTTGTTAAATTTTCTGGAAATTCTTACTCCAAGAAAACTTACAAGTAAAATGTCAATAAATAAAACTTAATAATTTAACCCCAGATTTAAAAAATAATAAATTAATTGAGAGAAAAATGTATTGTTTTAGAGGTCAAAAATACGTAATAAACTATATTAAGATAAACTTTCATGGCGCTGGCCTTTCCTTTCCATCTTGTCTTTTTTTGAAAATTATCATCTTCTATTAGATTTCATTCATACTCTATGATCAATCTATGTATATTCAAATTAATCAACCTATAAATTTTCATTTGCATCATCTTTATCTTGATCTTTCAATTCAATTCTCGATTGGTAAATTCGTATTTCCAGTCAATGCCTACAATTCGGCTTTTTGTCTGAAATACTTTAACATATTCTTCTTACTCCCCCCCCCCCCAAAAAAAGTATAATTGATGCTAATTCGGGGAAGAATATATGCATTACATATGGTACGTCCACAAATAAAATTAGACTTTGCATGAATTAAACTTAAACCCTTCATTCCATAATTTAAATTTGGCAGAAAAAGAAATCACTGCCAATCTAAATACAATTATACAAGCAGTAGCTCCCAAGTCCACCCAACAGCTCCGCCGCCGTCCGTCTGTATTTTGGCGCCAACAACTGCAATTGAGGCGTCTCCGTTAGTTTTCATGCCCAAAAAGCCACCAGTTGGAACTAGGAATTGTTGAGGGTTTCTTAAGTCTTTCACTTCTGCGAGGGATAAATGGTCGTGGTGAAAGAGGGTGGTCATGGGAAGAGTTTGATAAAGAACTAGGAATGATAGGTGAAGGAGAGAGAGAAGGGTCAGGAGAAGACACAGGGGGAAAAATAATAAGGTCATCAACATGTAGCATAGAAGAAGAAGGGTCAGAGATAGGCGGAGCAGGAGTAAAGAATACATCATTTGAGTCATCAGAAGGAAGTGGTAAGACCAGATCCGAAAATTCATCTGTCTTAGAAGACCGATAAGGGAAGATATGTTCATAGAAAAGGACGTCTCGAGAAATAATCACCTTTTGAAGAGAGGGACAATAAACTTTGTACCCTTTTTGGCCAGGTGGATAGCCAACAAATACACCTTTGAAAGATCGAGGATCAAATTTGTCTCGATGAGGACCATTATTTACAGCAAAGACTAAACAACCGAAAATTCTCAAATGATCAAGATTTGGAACTTTATTATAGAGGATTTGGTAGGGGGATTTCCAAGAAAGAACTGAAGAAGGAAGTCGATTGATGACATATGTGGCAGCTAAAATTGCTTCGCCCCAAAATTTCTTAGGTAACGAAGACTGAAAAAGAAATGACCTAGCAACTTGGAGAAGATGCTGGTGTTTCCTTTCCACCACACCATTTTGTTGTGGTGTGTAAGGACACGATTTATGATGTATAATCCCAAGGTCAGAAAATAATTTTTGAGTATTATGGCTCAAGAATTCGGAACCTTTATCAGATCTCAGAATTTGCACAGATTGCTGAAACTGATTTTTGACTAAATGAAAGAAATGAGCTAAAGTATCTGTGACTTGGCTTTTATATTTAAGGAGAAAGGTTCAAGTTGACCTACTATAATCATCAACTATAGTAAGGAAGAAAGAGGCATGTGTCAAAGAAGGCTGTTTATACGGCCCCCATAAGTCAACATGCAACATTTCGAAGCAGCAAGTAGTTTGGATTGTACTAAGGGGAAAGGAATTTCGATGCTGTTTAGATAAAGGACACACTTCACAGAAAATGGCATTCTTATTAATAGAAGAATGGGAACAAACTGAAAGATGATCCATTACAATATGAGAAGGATGCCCTAAATGATTATGCCAAGTAACCACACTTACATTGGCACTAATCTTATTTTCTCTATTTGAACTGAAAGTACAAGTAGGAGAAACTACTCTGTTTGAGACAGAAAGAATCAACTTAGAATATAAAATCTGTGATTTCAATATGGCTTCTTTGGTAAATGAGTATGAAGTGAGAATGTATAGTTCTTTGACAACCGTGCTGACTCCGAGAACCTTGTTAGTCCTCAGGTCCTACAACAAGCAGAAGTCGTCAAAGAACTTGAAGAAAATACCAGAGGTTTGAGCTAGTTTTCAAACTGAGAGAAGATTATGTTGAAAAGAAGGAACATGTAATACAGAAGTAAGCGTAATGTTATTGGAAAGCACTACTTCTCCTACATGCTCTACTTGTTTAACGCTACCATCGGGGAGATAAACGGGTGTATATGAATTAACAAGTTTGAAGGTGGAAAAAGAAGACAAAGAACAGCACATATGTCCAGTGGCACCAGTGTCACTCACCCAAACAGTACAACCAAACTCAATTAAATTCGAAGTCAGATGAGAGATGACGGAACTACCTGCAAACTCGCTGAAATGCGCATAGTTCACCATATGTCCATTTCCTCCTTCTGAAACTGTTCCTTTGCCCTTAAGAACCTTTCCTATCTTAGACTGCATTATGTTTGCTAAGACTGACTGCCAGTTCCCTGAGTTCTGCATTGGCCAGTTGTGAGATTGATTCTGAGTGGATATAATAGACAAATTCGGTCCACTGTTTTGTCCAACACTCTGCATCTGCCGCCCATTAACTCCATCAGAAGTGGTGCTCCATCTTGTTTTAGTACCTTCAATCTCCAATGGTGTATCCACCATATGTGCTGACTGCTTGACACCCTGTCCTCTACCCTTTTGTGTTCCCCACCATTCCGGAAAGCCATTGAGAAGAAAGCAGTCTTCCTTAAGATGACCCGGCATGTTGCAATGAGTACACTGCAATTTCATCTTTTCTTTCTTAGCAAGAATTCTCTGCTCTCTCATATTCATATCTTGATTCATGTTCTGTTTCCACATTGCAGATGGTCCTTGTTGATTCATGTCCTGTTTCCGTACTACGAATGGTCCTTGAGGTTTTGCCATCAACTCCACATTATCAGACTTTACAACCAAATGGCTAGCGACATTTCTCTGTGTTTCTTCCTTCAGCAACATCGCAAAAATCGTATCAACATCTGGCAAAGGAACCATCCTAAGTATCTCATTCCTCAACGAGTCATAACAGTCATTTATTCCCATAAGCAATTGAAAGGCTTTGTCTTCAGCATTACGCAGATCATAGTGCCTCTTACCATCACAAGTACATGCAACTGTTGGCCTCCATTGACTATACTCATCCCAAAGTGTATTCAGCTTATTATAATACTCAATCATGTTTAATTCCCCTTGATTAATCAGTGCCATCTCTCGTCTAAGCTGATAAACTAAAGATCCATTCACCTTCCCATATCGAAGTGCTATTGTATCCCACAGTTGCTTTGCATTTTCAATAAACATAAAACTACTTACTTGACTACTATCAATAGCATTCAAGATCCATGACCGTACCATGCAGTTTACCATAGACCATCTCAAAAAGGCAACTGTATTTTCAGGAGGTTTTACACACGTTCCATCAATAAATCCCAACTTTGCCTTAGCATTCAAAGCTGAAATCATTGACATACGCCAGAGTAAGTAATTGGTAGTAGTTAGTGGAGCACTTACCAACATCATACCCGGATTATCAGCTCCATGGACTTGTAGCTGTTCTTCCATGAATAGCTCCAAATCTCTGTTCATATCTCTTTGTCTACCAGTATCTTGATCAATCCTTTCGAGTCTTGCACGATCATTCCAAGTCCGAAGCTCCTCTGCTTGTGACTGCCCGTCGCGACTTGTCTCAACTCGAAAAGCATCCATCGTTCCTTGAAATTGATTATCAGGTTTTGTAGCGGAAGCTAGAAAATATCAAAATCTCGGCTCAGATCAGGCAAGATCACTCCTGCTCTTATACCATGAGCGAGAATTGAACGGCAGCAATGGAGGTTAGGGTTTGGTCGAGAGAGAGAAAGAGGGATTGATTTAATTGTGCCTGAATATTCTGTATTAACATCCAAAGAATCTGAGTCCAAGTCCTATTTATACAATTCAACAATAACTAATCTATGTGGTAAAATACCAAACTACCCTTACTACCTAAACTGTACACCAACCTAACCAAATGGCATTTCAGTAAACAAACAAATTTCTATCTGTTTACATTCAGCACATGAACTGAAACTATTTACAACATTTACAAACTGTTTTTCATGAGAATCATTCACAGATTCCTTCACTGGTAACCTCCCCAGGGCTCTGAAACCAGAGACCTTCTGTCGAACAGGTAGAGTTCATACTCAAAACTTTTGAAAAGTGTGGCAAAATTCTCTTTTGATTTTCAGTGATTAGCGGGTGTTAAAATTTCCCTGCAAACATCTAGCGATGATGATAATTAGTTACTGCAATGTTGCTTAATTTCGCTCAACTTTTTGATGCTCCATTGTTTTGAAGAAAAAAAAAATGTCGGAATTTGTAAATTCGTATGATTAATTCAACTATAGAAGTAAGTAGGAATCATATATACACAGCAAATTTGACTATATAAACAAGCTTTAGTTTGTGTCTTCACAGGAATCTGCATTTCTCTGAAAATCCCGCCGGGAAAAAGAAAGGGAGAAGAAGATTTTAGAACCGGTAATGGCAGAGCAATTTACAGAGGAGCAGAAAGCAGAGTTCATGGAAGCTTTCAGCCTCTTCGACAAGGACGGAAATGGCTCTATCGGAGCTAAGCAACTGGGAAGAGTGATGAGATCATTTGGCCTGAATCCCACTGAATCTGAACGAGTTCGATGCTGATAAAGATGGGACTCTTGATTTCTCAGAGTTCTTAAACATGATGGCACGAAAGAAGACCGAATCCGAGAAAGATCTCAGAGAAGCATTTAAAGTGCTTGATAAGGATCAAAAGGGCTTCATTACGGCTACAGACCTCGGCTATGTAATGACAAACCTTGGAGAGAAGATTTCTGATGAAGAGATTGATGGGATGGCTAGTGTCGCTGATTCGGACGGTGATGGGGAAATCAGTTATGAGGATTTCGTGAGGATGATTGCTGAAAGAACAGGGGAAGAAGAAGAATTTGAAGCCAAAAATGGCGCCAGAGAAGTTGACAGATGAGCAGATTGCTGAAATGATGGAAGCTTTCAGCCTGTTTGATAAAGACGGAAATGGTTGTGTAGCCGCGCCACAGATCAACTCGGAACGTTGATGAGATCGTTTGGTGAGAATCCCACCGAAGGCGAGCTCCAAGATAGTATCAATAAGTAATAAGTTGGACGCCGAGGGGAATGGAAATGTTGAATTCCCTGAGTTCCTGAATTTGATGGCAATGAAAGAAGCCGCCGACTCGGAGGAGGGTCTTAAAGAAGCATTCAAAGTGTTTGATAAGGATCAAAATGGGTTCGTTTCAGAAGCCGAGCGCCGTGTGATGACAAACCTTGGAGAGAAGATGACAGATGAAGAAGTTGATGAGATGTTAAGTGCAGCTGATATGAATGGTGAAGGGGAAATCAATTATGAGGAGTTTGCGAGGATGATGGTTATGGAAACCTGCTTCCATCCCATTGGAAAGACGAATCGGACCAAACGCCGTTGATTGATGATGTTAAGAAACTAGCGAAAAGGATGGTAAGAGCTTGTAAATGCGAACATTATTTCTGTTTTGATTGCATAAAGGATCCATAAAAAGGTTATTGCTAAGGTATTTTGTGCAGAAATGTATTGCTATGAAACCTAGTGTTATGAGGAAATCAGAGATCGCTGGCACTAGGGAGTTTTGAATGGCATTTTCCCATGCACTCCTAACCAGTTATAGATTTTGCCAGATTCTTTAGGTTTAGAATATCTTATCAGAATTAACAGACCTTTTGGGTGGTTTTTGAAATTGGTGGATCCTTTGGTTCTATAGTATTTGTAGACATTGCAGCTGAGCTGCGTAAGTAGTTATTACTTGAGGTATATGTATGTTAGGACAAGACTCTCAGATATTTACTGGACTACATTCTGGTAATTGGTGTGTAAATATTACTCCGATCGTCCCAAATTTGAATTTTCATTTTTAGTACAAATTGAACCAAAAGTGAAAATTCAAATTAGATAATGTTTTTGGGAGAGACATAGTATATTCAAACTGAGTATGATTTTGGGCCAATAAATGATACTTCTGACTATACAATCTTTTTTATTCCGTTCTCTTTTCGATGAATAACATATGACAAATATCTTAAACATTGTGAATTGACATATGATATTTACATATCGAATGTTTATGTATAGTTCTTTGGGACATTTTAAAAAGTATAGATAAATTTAAAAATAAGAGTGAATTTACACTTTTATTAAGAGTTAAGATATAATCTGATCAGATGAACCCTTATGCATCATTGCCCGCTGAAGACTACAAAATTTTTTAAGCAATCCATTTTTTTTTTTTGGTCAAAAATTTCGTGAAATAATTTTTGGAATATCAAAGACTGCATAGTTAATTCAGACTTTTAACAAAAAAAATAATAAAAAAAATCAATGGGCTCTTGTGTAATTTTCCAGAGCTCTTAACCGATTAGTTGCCTCTGTGGTGGTTACTCTGTTACGAGCGGTTATTGCAATTGGGGGAAAGTCAATGAAATTTGGCTGAATTTCTTCTTTTTTTTATTATAAACCTTCACTCTCTACAGACTATAATCTTCATTCAGTTCAGAAAAAAAAAAACACACACACACACACACACACCACCTGCATCATCATCTGCATGCTCTGTTTTTGATCGTCGTCCTCATTTTCTCTCCACCTCTTCTTCTTCCTCTTAATAGCTATTCAGTTACTGACAAAAAAAAAAACCCCATCAAAACCCATATCAGAAACCAGAGGAATAAAGAAACCATGACGAATCCACTCAAAAAATTTGTGAATGATGTACGGAATAATGCGGGGAGCCGCAAGAAGACTAATACAGCTGACTCAAAAGATTCATCCCGGAGTGATGATGCTCCTAAAGAAGAAGAAAAGAAGCCGGAAGTCGAAGCAAAAGGTCCTCCCAATCCACCTGATTCCTCCAAGATCCAAGGGTCGTCGTTATATGGTCTTGTTCTTCCTGATGAGCATTCAAATAAGACTCTGTATCTTCGTGACGCTTCCGGAGTTGAAATCCAAGCAGGCCTTTGGAAAATCCCCCCACCGTCGGCGACAAGAACTGAGATTGTACCTCCGAGACGCGGAGTCGGTAAAATAATAACTCCTTAACTTAATTTCGTAAAAGGTTTCGTAGTTCTTGAGGGGAATTGAATGGCTTATCAAATTAACACTTCAATTTGATTTCGATGTTTTATCTTTCTTTCTTTTTTTTCCCCTTTTTTACATCGTCTTTTTTGATTCTGGACGTCAAATTAACATGCAATTTTCGGAATCATAGAATACCAAGATTCTCACTTAAGTCTTGAAATTGATTTTTGTTCACTTTCAATTTTGGCTATTACAGGATCAACGAAGCCCATTTCAGCCAGTGTCCAATCTGGTCAAACTTCTGGTGCTGGGAAATCCCCTGATCTGAATCAACTAGGTAATCATTATTTTGATAGTCAGATGAATTTTTGTTAACCTGGTAGAAGTTAATTAGGAAGGGCTTGTTTCAATCTTTGACAGATGCTTGCAATGCTATAAAACTTCCCCTTCGATGCGGCATTTGTGATAAAAGAAAACCAATAAAGGATTTGGAACTAACTGCTGGATGCCCACATTGTTTCTGCCATGAATGTATCAAGGTCTATGCTACCAGTAAGGTAAGGGATAAAGCTCAGAGGGCAATTTTTGTCGATGTGCGTTGCCCAGTAGAAGGGTGCGAGGAAAACTGGCAACCAAAAATACTGAGGAATTTTCTTGATGACGAAGTCAGAAAAATCTGGGAAATCAATCATGAGTTCTGGAATTCAGAAGATGCTCAAGTTGCTGGTTCTGGTGAATCTTCCGATTTGGACAAAAAGTTTGACGCTAAGAACCCAACAGCACATCAAGATGGTAATTAATTCATAATCTACCATTTCTTTAAGCCCTTTCTTTTTTAATCAGTTCTAGTAGATTGATAGCCTCTACAAGAGCATTAAATTTGGTTTTCTGATTAATGGAAGCTCTTGTTAGTTGTTATTCTTCTGGGAATTTGGGAGGGAATTGATTAAGTTTTTCTTTGTAAATATGTCCAGTTCTTTTAGCTGATTGATATGTATTTTGGGATCTTTCTTACTTTGCGTTTTGATTCCTAGATTATCAGCAATATGGCGATGAAGAAACCCAACGTAAAATTCAGCAAGTCTTAGGTATGAATACCAAAATTTTCACTTCAACAAAGAGCATATTTGTTTACTGGTTGTGATGAATTCTATTTGGTCAGTACAGAAAGGAATCGCTATGGAAGTTCTTCTTCTCAAAGTTGTGGTATCCGTATGCGATCCCCGGATCAAAAAGGTACTGCTTTTGTTCTTTACCGTATCCTGGTGAACTCAGGGGATTCAATTTTGGTTTCAGGGTGCTGAACATCTCAATAATCTGATGATAATGAATTGTCATTTCCCTGATGTGTGAATGTAGATGATGAGCAGAAGGCTTTTGCAGAGCAATTGACTGAGAAGCTGATCAGTAAGTTTGCTGAAGTTTTTCGCATCGTCGACAAAGACAAGGATGGTTTCATCTCCGCAGAGGAACTGAGAACAGTGATGAGATCACTTGGCCAGAATCCCACTGAAGCTGAACTCCAAGACATTTTCAATAAGTTGGATTCTGATCAGGATGGAAGAATTGATAAAGCTGAGTTCCTGAGATGGATGGAACGAGTCATGAAGATTACCCTAAATGCGGAACAGTTTTTTACGAAAGATCTTGGGGAGAAGACTTTTCGTTGCCAGTAATGGTTGTGCTTCTGAAATTTTGGCTTACCAAAGGAACAAATTGAGTAGTTCTTGGGATTGGTGGGAGGATTCTTTGCAGAGCTTGAAGGAAAACTGGAAAGTTAATTAGGTGTGCATTCTTCAGAGTCTTACTGAATTTTTACAGGATTTCTGCTGTTAATTCATTCCTGGGTATAGAGGATTCTTTAGTTCAATTTATGATTCAGATCATATGTGTCATCAGATTTTTTGATGTGGGTTCTCAACATTCTGGGATGTTGATGATGATGATGATGGTGTTGGAACAGATTCATTTAGGTGATGGGTTATGATATATTGTATGATACATTCTGGTCTCAAATTTCATTGTTGTTTCAGAATCTCCAATAACACAGAAAGTGCCCAATGATTTCATTTTGATCTGATTACTCAATTTTTGTAGTCTTTTTTGTAGTCAATGAATTCACGTTTGCCTGGATACAGAAGTCTTTCATCGATCTGGATGTTTTGATTTTCTTCTATAGTACTTAAGTTTTAAGTTTTTAGCATATCTGATCAAAGGGAAAGATCTTACTATCCTGCTTTGAAACGAAGATTCTTTTAGTCCATTTAGGTTGGGATGGGTAGGGGGAATATGGTTTTGTCAAATTTTTGGGGGGTCAATGTTTATCTTCATTGGTAAATCCATTTTGCCAAATAGAAGTGAATCTCTATTTAATGCACAATTTTGACCCTTTCTGGGAACAAGTGAAATCTATAAAGAAAAAATACTGTTGTTTGTGAACCAACATTCCCAAATCTTACCGTCTCAATTGCGGAAACGAATTAGTGCCACAAAACTATGTCATCTTATGTTGCCAAACTCATTTATTGAATAAATTCACAAAAGGACAGAAATATATAATTCTATTATACCTTCTTGCTAATGACATAGTCCTAGCAAAATGTCATAGATTAAACTAATGACAGGCCCAATAATTTAGAACCGGTTATTCCATTCACAGACTCCAGAAAAGAATCAATTTATATGGACATTGAGGAAATATCTTTGGATTGAAGAAGATCCAGAACAATCTACCCAAACAGAAAACAAACCAAACTTTCCGCTTTCGCTTTAAATTCTCGGAGCTGAAGACCGCATTGGTGTCGCACTTGGTCGTTGTTTGAGCCTACTCATCATATTATTAATCTTCATCGCCTCAGCCCTATTATTATGTGCATATGTCAAAGTTTGAGCCTACAAATCACACATGTTGCACAATTCAATCCTTCCCTTTTTTTCCAGTGGGTTAACGGTGCTTTCTTGTTTCTCTGATGATCAAAGTTTGAACAATTATAGATCGGATTATAGATCAAACACTTGTTTCTTTTATTGGTCTATGTACTATAATAAACCAATACATCGGATTATAGATCGGATTACATCGGATTACACACTACGTAATTTATAGATCGGATTATTTTCGTGAGATAGAGGAACTATTATGGTATGGGATAAAGTTTTAAAATGGCAGTGTTTAAAAGGTATAAATTGTCTTAGCATGGTACTGTTTGGAAAAAATAATTCTACAATTTTTTATTTATCCTTTGACCAATTGGGTCATCTGGTTCACTCTCTTGTACTTTATTGAGTCCCTCATATTTTTCTGTTCATAAAATTTGATATAAGCCACATTTATAGTTATCATTAAGTAAACCTAGCTAACAACATTCATAAAAAAAATCACACTGGTATTCGCTTTAAATCAAATTTAGACTAAACTAGAATCCGACGCCAGTGAGTTAATTTATGTGGGATGAAATCGGTCATTGACTGTGACTTGACATTTTTACCTACCTCGATTCTTCTTTCCTAACCTACTGGACATATGCAGTAGAACTTCTATAAATTATGGGACCACGAAAATTTATTAATTTAATTAACAAATTATTATATAATTGATAAATTAATAGATTATTAATTTAAAGATTTTGTATGAGAAAAAAAAATCGCCGCTAAATTACTTAATTTGCAGTTTTCATCACATCAAAATCAATCAAGTATTAAAACTATTCTGAACACTAAAAATCTATACATAGTTCATATCATCTCGACGGACTAAAAAGTAAGTATTAATAATTCATATTTTACTAAATATTTATTAATTTACGGTATTGTTGGGATAGAAGATTTTCTAAAATATTATTATCTTTTTTAATTATTTTTCACTGTTTGTACTGATTCCAACTTGGGACTAGAGAAAATTATTAATTGTTAGAACTTATTAATTTATAGATTATTAATTTACCAATATTCTACTGTATTTAGTTTGATTAATTCTCCATGGCATGAACTTATTCTTCTCAGTAATTTTGGAAAAAAAAGTGACTACAGTTCTGCTAAGAAGATCTCTGATACATAATTCTTTTCTGATGCTCATTCATAATCATGGGTGTAGGATTTGTAGTTCAATTCATTCATTTATGATTTTAATGATATTGTACTCCCTATATCCGGAATTTTTTTTATATATATAGAAAATCTAATTTAGAAAACTAAAACACATAATGGTCCTCTTCAATAATAAATGTAGTTTGCCCGATAGAAGTAAATCTCTGGTTACTTTTGCAACCATAAAAAAAGAAGAAGGAAAAAAGGTTTGCTTCCGCATGGTTGAATGAAAGGAATAATGCCATCCTTCTTTTTGGGGTGAAAAATCGTTTCTTTATCAATGAATTCTTCCTTGGGCATTTTTATGCTTAATAAATTCTCTTTTACCCTTAAGTTTAACACTTTTGTTACTATGATTAATAATAAATGAGGATTTATGGTTAAGATTTAAAAATATAGTAACAAAAGAAAAGGAATTAATCACCAATGAGATCACTTATATTGAGTTCATATATAAAATTTATTTATGGTTTGTTTCATATTGCTAACAGCTAAGCAAAATCATTCTAGGTAAAGCTAAGGTCCCGTGATGTATTTCAACGTGATGGTCTCGTAATATCAAAATGTACAACTCTTTTTAATTAGTGGTGCAACCTTTAGTTTTCAAGTATGCAGTACATATTTTTTAAGTGTGCAATACTTTTTTTTTTTTGGTCAAACGTACAACAATAATTAACTAGAAGTGCAATACTTAATTGTTTGTAAAGTATGCAATGGTAATTTTTTTCCAAACGTGCAATGTGTTTAACTAATTGTGCAATACTTAGTTATCAAGTGTACAATGTTTTTTTTTAACTAATTGTGTTTTTTTTTTATCAAGTGATCTATATCTTTTATTTTTATAAACCTAGTTTCCACATAATTTAATTAAAAATCAAGTTCAAAAAGTGTGTCTTATTATAATTTTAATAAAATTTTTGATACACGATGCCAAACAATGGATTAACATGTATTCTTTTAACATACAAAATTATTTTACATGCACAAACTTAAAACGTTTATATATCTCTTAGCTTCATAAAATTATTTTATAAAACATAAAAAAAATGAATACAAGACATATCAATAATATAAACAAATGTGCAATTACATATTAGCTTGTGTGCAATTGAAATCCAAAAAAATAGGGAAACTAATTAAGAATCTATGAGAATATTAACCATTTTAAAGGCTTAAACTTTTCTAAAATCATTGTTTTTAATTATTTTGGTAAGTTACAAGTATCATTTGGTAAGTATATCAAATTTATGATATTCTTTAATTAATTAAATTTGAACGGGACCATACAGTTAAAATTGACGATAGGACCCTAGAATTTCCAGTAATTCTTTCGAGATATTATTATAAAAATTTTTAGGTATGGAACGTATAGAGGAAAAAAAATTCCGATCAAGACATATAATTATATCTTCGTTTCCATGTATAACACAAGTTAATCAATAACTAATAATGAATGAAAATGACATTTAAAAAGATGCAGCTCCTAATCATCATCCATCGACCTGTCTTGAAATTGGGGTTTTTTTTTCTTTTTTTTAGTTGGTAAACAAAATTAGGCTAATTTTGAATTCAATAAAACGGAGAAAAATTCATTACACATTAAAAATGCTGCGCCTAATCCATGATCTATCGAGTTGTCTAAAAATTAAGCTATATATATAAATTTAATAAAATCGAGGGATGAAAATATAATTACAGAAGATTCCTAAACCGTTTTACTGGATTCGTTATTTTGTTACAAGCAGTTTGACTAAATTGTACTCTATCTTTTTCTCTGCTTCTTCTTGTTCTTCTATTTCTTATTCTTCTTCTTCTTCAGTTCATCCTCTATATCTCTGTTCCAATTGATTTTGTTTCATTGACCGCATCTGAAATCTGCACCCCACAGAATTAACTTTTGAGTTTTCCCGGTTGGCTCCCTTTTGATTTCTTCAACATTGGGTTCTTTTTCGTTTGTTCTGTTCTTAAGTTGCATAAAGAAAATGGATAATGGCAGTCAGCAGAAGGAAGGAAATCCTCTTGTCAATGAAGAAGACCAAAACGTCTCCTCTGAAGTTCATCATGGTGGTTCTCGTATTGGTAATAAGTCGAAAGCTGATGCTGATGGCGGTTATGATTCCTAGGGTAATTTATGAACAGACACCCTTTTCTTGAATTTTTATCCGTTTTTACATGAATTTTTATCCGTTTTTTAAAACTTAAATGGTAAGGGTCACCC